TTAAATAATTCCTAGACATTAGTAAGGTCTATTTTTCAGCAAAATTACTGGGCGAATCGAACTACGATAATCTTAGGACCTATCCGTCAGATTTTCATGATTATTACTTTGGTATTGGATAGATTATTTATTAAAAAATATTTTAGGTTTTAAAACATTAGGCTTACGACTTAGATGAGCAGTGAACTTAAACGCAGGTGAAACTGTGGGGAACGAATAGTTTAATTATAATAAACCTAAAGGTCTAGTGTAATTTTCTTTTACTTCTACTTGCTCGTCACGGTGACCGCGTTCGGCGTTGCGATTGGCCCGTGATAATATATTCACCAATCCGACGCCACCGCCTTAGTTTTGCCTTTCGATTTACCTATTTTACTTATTACTACATTATCTATCTTCCAGTGAAAGCCTCATAGAAATCGATACACCCGTTCAGGAGATTGTCCGAAACACGCTAACAGGCCGACAAAAAATAAACATTAATATTTTTATATCAGTATAGCCTATAAATGTTTCGTGCATTTTATAAACTCCTGTTTTTACGATATCGTACACAGGCAGTCCAATTTTATTTATAGCTTTCCAAAACTAAGTAAACCAAACGACAACTTTAAACAATTCATTCGTGTCGTGTGTTTTATTAAACAAAAACACATTTACATCAATAATTCAGGCACACATTCAACTGAATGATTGTTACAACCAAATTATTGATAATACAATACATTAGTGACAATTGATCCTTATCGCAATAATATTAAAGGTGTATTTGTTGTTTTGTTTTATAATATTTAATTTAAAGGACTTCCTCGTTAGTTTTACGGTTTAGGACTTCGATTTTTAAACACTCTGTTGGCCGACGGCTTCCGTCTCAGGTATGCATCTGCTAGGGCAACGTGCGGCCACACCTCCAGCCAGTACTCGTGAAGTTTAAAGATCATTCTACGCTTTTCGGCGCCGAGTGGCACTTCTTCAGAATGGAAGAGTACTGGCCCTCACCCGTCTAATTTTTGCCGTAACTTTAGCGAACATCATTTCTTAAAAACACTAACGAAGTTCTTTTACTTGGGCTTAATTGTCGTCAATAAACTTTGCCGGGATAGGCAGTATCTTATATGCTATTCTAGGCTATAGTCTACCTCTGTGCCAAATTTCATTCAGATCTATTGGGCGCTTTAGCGTGATTGAGTAAAAAATGTTTATGCAAATTTTTACATTTATATAATAGTAGTAAAATAAATTGTTTTCTTATACCTTGTACTCGTCTTCCTTTACTTTATATCTTCCCTTAAAAGCCGAATTAAAATAAGGTAAGTGTAGAATTACATTCAATTTCAGTCATTGTTTTCGTATAGTTTTATACATTACTTAATAACAACAGTGTTTCTGTACCATAGAGAACAGACTAACCCATCCGGCTCTTATCAATTTGATAACAAAGTATGCCACGTTTTTTCCGTAATTACTATTAACTTCAACAAGTAACCGTAAGTAACGAACAACCGAATATATTATGTAATAATAAATAATAGAACCAAATGCCTTATCTACATTCGGCGTTCGTTATTTAAATGTCGTTGTGACATTTCGATATATTTTTTTATTTACCTCATTTGGGATTTGGCATTTTGGCCCGTGCCGTTTTTATTGGTAGCCGTGTGCGGAACATTAATTTTGTTGTTGGGCCCGAATGTATGCCCCCGTCTTTTGTCAGCGTTACGTCATTTACTAAAATGGTTTTTGTTAGATTGTTTTTTTTTATGTTATGAGAATAACAATGGCGACAATAGTTATATTATCACAATAATACACAAATTTCATTTTGTTAGCAAATTTACTTATATTTAATTACAATTTAACAGAGTTGTGTGTTGTAAGAAAAGAATCAGTTTGCCTAAAAACGATGACCGTCGGTGGTTTAATAATATTTCTAAAATTATATCCGCATTTTTTTGGGTTTCTCCATCATCAGACTTCTTGTCTGGTGATGCGAAACCATGATAATATAAGTTCAAGAATACTTTTATAAGACCTTATTATTTGTTCATTTATTATAAATCTGTTCATTTAAAATCGTTACTAAACACACAGTAGGTGTAATTCGAAACGTTTTTATTAACACGCGAAGTCAAAGTATGTTAATCGGACATGTGATATATTATTTAACTTAATAACTGAAGCATTGTGACGAAGCCGTTACGTTAATAATTACATGGAACCGCTCGTGAATAGTTTATGCGCCATAGACTGCTAAATATTTAGAGTAGGATGATAAAATATATTAAAGGGCTACCGAAATGTTTTGCTAGAATTAACTAAGAATGAATATAATCTTTGTATGTTAATGTATAGGAAATTTAAAAATATATATTTTTGGCAACGCAAACTTGCAATCAACTTTACTCTGCCTAGCTAGTTTACGTAAACATGTTTGTTTCTGTATGTTTCTAACTCGCTTGCTACTTATTGTTTAATTAAGAAAGAAGTCATCATTGACACTTAGAATATTAACCTAAAATGTATTTATATTGGACTGAATTCCTAACAGACATACTACATATATCATTATAATGTCAGACAACATCACGTAATATGGTGTAAACCAGCAAATTATGTAAAAAAAATGAATCAAATAGAGAGTTATGACATAATAAGTGTATTTAGTTTAACTGAAAATTATCTAAAAACCTTTGAAACAATAGCAAATGTAGATTATCATGTAATAAGCTCTTAATGTTTGTTAAATAAAATTGGTTTGAACCTTAAGAAACTACCCTATTGCACAACACTCAAATATTGATTCTGCTTTACACAATCTATAAATTATTTCTTTATCAAAGTCATATTAAAGGCCAATCTAAAGTATCACTAGCTCTATGTATGGTCGCATTGTCGGTAATGCAGTGGCTTTCAAATCAAACGACAATAATTACTACAAGCTTTGTTCGTAACAGCACTATCTGTCAACTCGCAAACATGGCGCTGTTGCTCAACATTTACATGGGCACCGGAAGGCCAATACTCGTAATGAAAGTTCGGTGTCATTTCAGTTCCGATCAACTGTCGATCTCAAAACTGTCATAAAACGGTATTTTCGTAGTAAAGCATTAAACATCCAACATTATTGACATAACATTGACTGTAATGTGATTATATCGTATTGTCACCGAAAATTGAATCGGTAATCTGCTAGTCTTAGTAATACTTTACTATTTTACTACAAAAATACCTTTTATGACGGTTGTGAGATCGAAAGTTGATCGGAACTGAATTGTGACCGAACTTTTATTACGAGAATTGGCCTTCTGTTCTCTAACATATTTTTTTATTTATATTATGGAATTGGTAAAGTTGGCTATAACTTATCTGTGAAGAGGCCTATGTCCAGCAGTGGACTGTTAAAGACTGTTGTTGATGATGATGAGTACAATTATCGCCGTCTAAAGCTTTTTTATTAGTGTGTTTAGTAATATATCATGCATATTAGTTTTAAAATTATTATTTATAAATCGATATTTTTGGTTTAAATATATAAAAACGTAAAAAAGGACTTTCAATAACCGTGCACAAACTTATTAAATATATATTACTTTTCCTTATTTTTTTGCCTTTAGAGTGTCGTATGAGTCTGTTGTTGTCGTTTCGTTATTAATCTTAGACGGAATACATTTAACCACGGTCCATTTTAACAGTCCTTTTTAAAAGATGTTTTAAATTTATTTATCCAGACGAATATTGACAGACAGAAGTAGACGCAGCGATGGTTTTTTTTTCACACATATGTATGCAGTAATTATTTTCCATTATTCGTAAACAATAGCTGTACCCTGCCTCGCTTCGCTTCAGGACATTATGGTTGCACTGATGAGAAACGAGGAACGATAAGTGTAATGACATTATATACAACCAATCTTAAAGCATCATTGGAAACGTTGATAAAAACCATCTTGGGAGTGAGTTGTATACCGTGTCAAAATTTTGGGCTCAAACTGTGGAGAAGTTTTCGAGTTTTTGAAGTGTAAGTATGTACACAAACCAAGTTAAAAAAATTATATATTTGGAAACTAGGTTACATTTGATTCGAACAAATACGGTATTGTGTTAGGCAAACGACGAGTTTCAAAACAAAGGCAAAGTAGGCCCCTTCTTTTTAAAATTTATCAACATTAAAATTTACAATGGGTAAAAAAACCACTTCACCAATACTTAGGAATTACGGAACACTTTTAAAACTTTGACAAACGTTAAAAATCCAGGGGACTATTACGGCAGTTATTAAGTGACAGTAGCGAAGTGTGTTCGAGTGCCGTGCTTTATCAGGAGGACAATATCAAACTGGCTCTCGTGACGGTAAAAAGTATTATCGCAAAACCGCGTGTCGAACCCTATTATTATCGCAACTCTACTTAATACTCCACTATCCACAGTTTGAGATTCGATTAGAGATATTAATAGTTGATTGAATTGACTTTTTTATTTCATACGTGACCGCGTTTTGCTTTGCAGTCATTTACGTCTTTTTTTTAAGACAACTTCCGCATTACGAATATATCCTGTGTTCGCGACAAACGGCTTTGCAAACATACATGAAACGGACATACTCGTAAAGGCGTTCATGGGCGGCGGTAGTCGCTTTCCATCAAGTGACCCGTCTGCTCGTTTACCCCCTATTCCATTAAAAAAAATGACTCAGAACAACAATCTGTGGATCCCACAAAGTGTGGGAATCAACAACACTCAGCGCAGTAGGAAACTGCGTGACAACTGCCTAAACCACTTCGCCATCCGCATCCGCAAGCATCCGGTTTAAACTTTGGCGTCTCATAGCATTTTTAATTTCACAGGGATTTCCATTCTAAGGTACACCTGAAGACCCGCAGAAAGACATGAACGACGTTGGTTTAGCTGCTTGAGATTAACTACTAACGGACAGATAGAGTTACTTTTGCATATATTACATTATTATGCACAAGTTTAAGAATACTTTGTACTTTTGGCAGGCATGTTCGTGGCCTTGCAGCACCGTACCGACGCCAAGGTCTGAGGACGGCTGCTGGAGCGGGTTGGTGCCCAAGGTGGAAAGGGACGACGAGTCCAGAGTAGAACCCTGGCGCCTGCCGGATTTGCGGCCCTCGCTTCACTATGTGCATGATCGTGGTAATTATTTTACTGACTTTAGTTCTTGCAACTTACTGTGTTGTCAACTACACTGAAAATCCCTCGCTTTTTCAACCTACATAAAAAAAGGAGGAGGTAGTCATACATATACTTACGTCTTCTAATAATAATATGTTCCATTTGCACTTATGAACGCAATAGTGTTAGTACTAGGGATGGAATATAATCACAATCACATGTGATAAATCATACGATTACCGAATCATATCATCACACCCGTGACTGATTTACAAAACCACTACTACTTAATTATTATTATTACGCTAGCGCAAGACTCGCGAAAGGTCGTACCTCGTAATCTCTGATAACAATTTTGATTGATTTTAATGCCATTTATCTTTGTCTATGACGAAATCACAATCATATGTGAAATCACTGTGACTAAAACCAATCCTTTCGTCAAATGAATATGATTTAAAAGTAGCAATTTATTCTATGTCTAGTAGTAATACAATCAATACATTACTAAACCAAATAAAATTTCTTCGAGTTCGAGTTACCAAAACGTGGGAGAGTCATACTTCGACCGCAGTCATACCACAGAAATCCGGTGTTAAGCACTTCTTTCGTTGTATTTCACCGAGTGAGTGAAGTTACTGGAGTCCAAACCCCTCCACCCCCTTTTTTTTCTGTGCCCAAATTCCGTCTCGGGTCCCAGTTGCCAGGTGTATCCTAGAAAGGAAATCCCTGATTCCCTTCAATCCTTCTGATTCTGGGAGTAGGAATCAAAGGCCGGCAACACACATATGACTCTTCAGTTGCAGGTGTCAATGGGCGACGGTAGTTACTTACCATCAGGTGGCCCGACTGCCCGTTTGAATAATATGTCATAAAAAAAAATATTGGCACTCCGGGAGTGCCGACAGAAGTGAAAACTTGGAAATTAATAATTCTTGATTATAACAGGAATAATTTTGTTTTTTCGATTCGAAAAGTTCGGACATGAATATATTATAATACTATGTTATACGTATATACACAACATATGTTTATATTATATTATCAACTTATTTCAACCCAAAGTCAACTCTCGTGTAAATGGGGCCAATATATGTAGATACTTATATACAGAGGTGTCGGTAACGGTAACAGTGTCGCGAGTTCAATGGTTTTTTCCCTATCTCAAAAAATACATTCTTATGTTTGTTCTTCAAAAATGCTTAACGCACCTAAAGAAATTTCCACTTCAAAAACTTGAAAGGAAAAACGTACAGTATAGGTAAAAATCCGTATAAAAATCAACATACGCATCAAAGGTACGTATTCTAGTACCGGTGTCGAATGCCTTGTTACTTACCGCAATTATATTCGGATTAGTTCGCTGCCTGGCTACGACAGGTCGATATTCTCCCCCGTACCTAAAGACACCGTAGAGGCTTTACACCTGTCTAATAACGTTTATTCTATCGCATGAACTGCCGAAAAATTACTAAACAATAAAATTAGTTTTAAAAAAAGTAGACTTTTATTCATATTGAATTACGTTAAATTGCAATATGCTGTATTTTGGATATTTTAATTTCATCTTTTATTTGACTGGGAGTCCCGATGAGATGAACACCCGTTTCTACATGATAATAAAAAAATAATAATAAGGGTGCCCATAGGAGGTAGACAATTTTTTCAAATTTAAGTGAGACCAATCTTGACCTAAACAACTTTAGTTATACACGACCACGGCCTTACGAAAACCGGTGGTAATCAAATCTTTCTTTACTTTTCACATAATGAGATTAGCGCATGGGAATCCCCGACCACCTGAGTATTTTCTACTTTTGAGTTGCTCGCTTAAAATTGGGAGCCGGTCTGCTCGTTCGCCCCGGATCTAGTAGGGGGCAATCCGGGGCACCACCCCGGGCGCTAGTTTCAGGGAACGTCAAAATCATAATTTAACACAGTTTAAAATAAAAAAAAAACTTGCTCAACAAATCGCTTCGCATGCAGAGCACGTTGAAAAAGTTTTTGAGTGAAAGATATTAAACAGTGCAAATTTATTAAAGGGTTCTTATAAGAACCAATATATTATTGTTATGTCCCAATCATGAAAAATATCAACCATTATATATATTTATGAGTTTTTAAGTTATTTATTTCAAACGTTGGAGACAGGGGCCGCTATGATGAAGCTTCTGCCCGGGCTCGAAAAACTCGTATATCCGACTGCTCGTTCGCGACTTAACCATAAAAACTTAGTCATTAAATAGTCACTATATGTAATGTCATTATTAAATTTTAATATTTTCGTTACAGAAAGAGACTGTGTTGGGTGCGTCGCTCCCCTGCCTTTGCTTCCGCAACCTGCCCCTGCGCCGCATTAGCTTATAGAAGACAACTGAATCAACATATTATAATAACTTGCTGCAGTTTAGTGTATTACTGAAGTTACTTTTACTTTTATCAGGTCGCATTATTTACCAAAAAAAGCATAAAGTAAAATAGTTTAAGAAATTTTATCTAACCTGTAACACTGAGTGTAGTTACCGTAATGAAGCAGTAGCGAGGGCGTTCATTCTTATTAAACACGAGTACTATCAGGAAAAGAACGACATCATACAAATGTCACCATGACAGAGTGAGATGCATATATTTCTATGTCATACATAATCCACAAACAATCATTTAGGGTGGGTGTTTACAGAGATCCATGTTCTTCATAAGATGTGAATAACTATTGAAATAAACTACGCATTTTAACTTTTCACATATAAAAATGTTGTAAGCAAATTGTACGTACCAATTTTTTATTAGTTTTAGTTTTCCGGCCGTTGCCCCGAATGTAGGTATGTTTCGGTCTGATGTCGTAATTTTAATACCCTCTTTTCAACTCTTGCAAGTATAATCTTAGAAAATTGATATCAAAATGGTAATAGATATTCTAGCAAAACATATAACGCAAAGAAAGGAACATAATATATAGTATTCATATGTAATCGTTAAAACTCACACTAGAAGTATGTTTGCCGACACCATATATACGTATCTTGTTTGCAATATACTGTTGGTACTAGACAACTGATATAAATACATTTTTACTTTTTTTTTTGTAAATACATACATATTATACATAGAAACACCGAGACCAAATCAAACACTAAATGTTTGACTGGAGCGGGAATCGATCCCGCGACTATTGCAGTAACACTCCGTTACACAAACCACTACGTCATCCGATGTTTGTTTTAGTTGTTAAATACGGTAAAGAGCCATGAATATTGACATCATCATCATTTGAAAATCTTGAGATTCTAGTCAAGTGAAATAAATTATATTTAATTGACAATTAAATGCTGATTAAATGAAAGGAATAAAATTTTTTAATCACTTAAAGGTTTTCTACAAAACTTCAGTTTTTTCAAATTTGGTTCACTTCTTGAATTCGTGCATAATCCAACCGAGATCTTTGCTCTCGAATTTATTTGCAGTATAAGTAGAAAAGCGAGAATAAAATATAAACAATTTTTGTTGAAATTCTTGTGTTTCTACCTATTAATAAATACAATTTAAGAATAGAACAAGTCTGTATTTCCACTCGCCGCGTACGTAATCTTTCTATTAGGTATACTTAGATACATTTTCCGCATAGAAAATCTCGAGTATCTAAACTATGTATCTAAATCTAGTCTTCTATTATTAATTAGATATAGTAATGATAATATTATAAACATATCTTATAGAATAACAAAAGCAATTATAATGAATTTAATTCATCAGGCAAAAGAGTATAGTGCGACAAGGTTCTATAATAGTCCATATTACCTATATTCTTTTGACAAAAATGCGATACTTTGATTAGCACTCCAATATTTTAAACCTTGTCGCAACAAAAGTTACAGGATTATTTCCGTATAACAGATCCTTGTTGCACTATGATCATAATCTAGTCATTGTAACTTAGTTTTTATTAGGTACATGTAAAATATGTAGATTGCGATCTAGGCTGAATAATTTTACTTTTTAATATATTGTAAATAGCTATTCTATAAGATGCATTTAATTAAATTTTAAGTTTAACTTTCTATAGAGATAATAAATTATAATCGATGATGAAATAATGAAACCTACACAAGTTAAAAATATATTTAAATGCGTCGCGTCGTATATTTAAACGCGTTTAAACGAACCAATTCGATAGCTCGATAGTGCTAGGACAGGACAAATTAATCGTTTTAATTGGAATAATGTTCTTGTAAGACGCTATTAAGCAAATTAAATCGAAAAATCGGTATTTTAAATTGACGTGCCTAATTTACACGTGAACAGTAACTATAAATGAAATTCTGTCATAACTAAATAACTTAATATAATGAACTTTATTAAATAGTAAATAATGAAAAGAGATACGGTACTCATGTTACCAACTGACACCGCGGCGGGACGGTTTACCTCTCAAATAATAGCATCCGTCATGTTTAAAACTAGATAATTAAAAGTATGATATACAACAATTAATTCAACATGGAAAAAACAGTAGAAGGATTTATTAACGAAATAGAGGCGGTTTTACTCACGTGTACGTTTCAGGGAATTCGACTATTTGTGGAACTGACGGGAGATCTGTATCAAGGTTTGAAGCGACCTTTCGTGCTAGTGTTGGCGTTGTTAAGCATCCTTCGGTAGGTTTTTAATAAATACAAACCATCAACCTATGTGAATACTTTCTTCAGGAGAGGACTGTCACTTATACTCAATTGTAACGTATTATTAGATTAGGTATTTTTATCATTAGCTTAAAAATGTATATAGTAAAAGTGCTACATTTTTTATATCCTCTAATAATATTCTTTAATAGTGTGAATTTCAAAAATAAAAGACAGCGTCTTCTGTTTGTATTAGTTATCGTACTTAAATACTGATAAAGATAGAGAACCAGTTGTAACGATGATGTTTAAAAAGGGATGAAGCTAATAAATATAGGTAGAAGTAGGCATGACTTCTTCCATGTAGATGGAGTTTTGTATTATTTGTAAAAAGCCTATTAATAATCTACATATATATGTATGTTTAAAACTGTAAATCTAAAATGGCTATTATGAGCTCACAATCAAAATGACAGTTGTACAATTCGTCAATACTCTTTTTTTTCATGTATACCTAGATGTGTACAGATATCGGCTGCTAAGTCAGTTCAGTCAGTATCTTCTATAGTAACGGAGGCCATAAAACAAGGAATATTACAGTATTTAACTATCGCATACATATGCGTGACTGTCGTATCTGACAGGCATACGTATGTAGTATACTGTCAGATACGACAGTTTACAAAAGTTGTCTTCACTAATAAGAAAATCGAAAAAAAAAATAGATAAACAATATTGATAAAAGTTTTTAGGCACCATTGAATTATCTAATTTTACTAATTACTGTGAAGCACAAAACAAAGAAAACTATTCCTTTTTCTGTGCTGTCAAGTCTATGTCTGTAGACATCTTTAAGCTTAATAAGTCACTTTGTTCATTTTTTGGTCATCTATCCGTAAATTTACTGAAGTCAACTATATTTGTTATGATTATGTTACAACACAAAAATTTAACGGATTCTTCATTAAAACTACTATTACCTACTCTATTAAAATTGACAGGTTAATATTTGGAAATACAACTACTCGTATTTAGGAGTTACCGTGACGATTTGGTGGTACATTTGTTTTACACATGTTGTCTAAATATCTGATGCTCTTTTGACCAGCTTACTGCTGCCGTCGTTCTGATAAAAGATGACAAGCCGTGATTGAGAAAATTGGCAGCTAAATGTCAACTATATAATCACACTGCTAGCTGCCTCTTTGGTGTGGGACAGGACACAAGCACAGGTTACAAGTTGTTACATACGCCAATCTAATTTGATATTGTAATTGGTAGACATCTGTTAAAGTAATAATTAATCATCGAACATGGAAGTTTAAATACAAAAAAAAATAGAAGTCCAAAATGTAATTCTTTTCAAATTAGACGTTAGTGGATCAAAAAAGCACAGGATAGAAGATATATATGTACCAAGTGACATGTTAAGCGTATTGTAGATATATATCGCAATTATCTGCTGTTATCATGTAATTATTATATTAAAACTGTAGTAATGTATTAGCTGCACAAATTAAATGAGCAAACTACTAGTTTACTTATAGCGTGTTTGATTACTACTCCGTGAGATACCCACAGTTCATAACTTCGTGAAATAAAGACAAAAACCACAACCTCTCTCCTTTTGTCGGTATCGTCAATCCTAGAGGGTTGTGACCTCCGTTGTGGATCTTGGCGAGTGTAAGAACCCGTAATCTGCTTCTGACTTGGCCTGCGTGTAGAGAAGGGGGGACTGTGATGTCAAAGGTGGAGAAGCTTTGTCGGACTAGACATTGTATAGTCTCTGGTTATTTTCCTTTTGACCATTCCTGTTAACCTGAATCCCCTATAGACCCAATATTTAAGCGTAGTTATCAATTTTAATGTCACTATAACAAAATACTTTGTTGATTGTTCAATTCTATCCCAGACTTGAATTCCATCTCAGATGTAATCATTCTAAGACACGTTATAAGGTTTCTTTATCAGGAAATAAAAAACCTTGATAACAATACGAAGCCTGCTAGTAATTATTCAAGACCAAAAATATCTGACAAATTGTAAGTATATGATACACCGCTGCCGGAGCTCGCATGCCTGTAGCTCAAATTGGCTGTTGTTAAAAAACCCGAGTCTCTGACATTAAAAATTATTGATTGAAGCACCCTATGTTTACATAAATTTACCTACGCATTTGTTTGTGAGGATTTAGAATCTGCATTAGATTAATCTTTTTCTGTGATTATTTACTAATTCAATTTAACTTCAATATTTACTGAAATGTAAATTTTGATTCAAATAAGTTTTAAGGCTAAAACAAAAAGTTTATTTTTTAAATAATTTTGCTAGAAAATAAAATTATTTGTAAAATCAGTTTTTTTTAATTACATCAGTTTCAAGATATTAACTTCTTTTTGTTTTCTTAACACTTTCTAGTGTCGCTGTAGACACGTAACTTTAACTTAAACTATTGAACGACGGCGACGTCCGAAACGACAATTAATGGATAACTATATCATTACAGTTCGAGTTCTATTAATTCTCTTCTCTCTAAGGTAATGGAGCATTTTCTTATTAACAGGTCACTTTTAAGATCACTCGATAGGCAAGACCTGAGCTTTGTTGTAGCATAGACTTTTCATTGTCAGACTGTCAGAGAGGTATTCTATCAAAGCTGCAGATTGTTTCAAGCAGCAAATCCAGCTCCTGAGAAAAATAGTCTTGCTGAATGGAGCGGCATAATGAATTAGAGTATACAGCGTTAGCGGAGTAATGTATGTACTCACTGTGCACAGTATTCATTTTCAGCTTTATTAAGCTGTTTGAAACCTGCTTTTCCGTGCTGGTTTCCATTTTTATGTGGTTCACTTTCAGACTTTAAAATCTTGCTTTTAACCTTGGTCTGTATGTAAAAGTTCATAGGTACACACAATATCTGCTTGTACCAATCGTAACAGAAAGTAACAGTGCAACTTTCAGCAATATTCTGGGGCTATGCATAGACGTGTTAGTGCCCGAACCTATCATACGATCAAGAAATGTTATTTTCCTTTCCAGATGTACTGAACGCGCTGTCGCGTTGACCCTATACCACACCGAGAGCTTCTGTTGACCACCTTCCCATTTCTCCACGAACACAACTGCGTCTTCCGGGGAGTGTCCTTTGTACGTCAGATTTTGGAAGACGACTTGAACTGGGCTTATTTCTGCGAGACTTCTTTCAAATTGCCTGATCAAAAAAAACATCATTAAAACAATAAATGTTATATTACTTACAAATTCAACAAACGATTATCTGAATATCTCAGTAATAAATGCTTAACTCAATAGTCACACTTTTAAATAGTGACATGTCAAAGTTATGTACCTTGAGACTTTTTTTAAAAGTAATATTTTTTCTAATAATATTTCGGACATCTAACACACAACGTCATCAAGTTTCAAACTAAGCAGAGCTTGTACTATGGAAGTTAGATTGACTGATAGAATACTTTTATACTTTTTTTGTAAAAACATACATTATTATACATAGAAAACACCCAAACGCCGAAACAAATATTTGCAGAGCATACAAATATTTGGTCAGAACCGGGCATCGAACCCGAGACCTCCAAACAACAGTCGCATACGCTACCACTGCGCCACCGAGGCAGTTACTTTTAACATTCGAAGCCAAAATCAATTGTCATTTAATTTTATTCATTTTATAACTTATTTTACAATGCACTATATACATCTTATGTTGTTTAGACCTTAGAGCAGTAAGGCCTAAATCTGAAAAGTAAAATAACCGTTTGGAGTCCGGTAGAAAAAGTCATTGATATTCTCCAAGATCTGATTTAAGAAACTTTTCTCGTTGGTGTCAAACGCTCGTCTTTTTATCACAACACACTCGTGAAAATACTATTAATTTAATACTGTTTCTTGGCCAAAACTAATTAAGACGAACATTTTTATTTGAATTGTTTATATATTAGATATTTTTCTCATTTAATAAAATACACATACTACATGGATACCGGATTTAACTACTGGTTTAGGTACTTACTGTGTAACATATTTACTTTGCGTGTCGTCGCGTGCCTGTGGGTATTTCAACGTAACGTCTTTGAACCCTTTCACTAGAGTCAAAACTGCATCTATGAATGCCATTTTATTGGGGTTCCAAGTATCATATGGCCATATAGTTTTCATTACTTTTTTAATATCCAACCAATTATTAGTTATATACATATCATTGGCGTTCCGAGACCACAGCGAAAATGTTACGTACGTTACATTCAATGTTATATTAGTCTGTTTCCAGTCTCGGAATATCCAGGTGAATTCTTTATCTACATTTACACCTAGTTTCACTGCTGCCGACAGTAAAGCTAAAGCGTTGTCATAATTCATATTCAGTATTATTATATTTGTTTTTGCTTTTATTATTTTTTGTAAAATATTTTTAACTATTCGCAGTGTCGAATTGTTAGACACATAGTAACCCAAAATTGTTGAGCCGCACAATAATCTTAAATTATTATTAAAACATTCTGCCGTTGGTGTCACATCAGATAATACTGTCACTTGGTTTATGTAATTGTTGCCTATAAAGTGTTGGATTGCCAATACTATATGAATCATTCGTCCATTGGTGAGCCACACTGATTTTGTTAAATCAACATCAATATCTATCGTATCAAACAAAAACACAGGTAAGGGAGAACTGTCTAGGAGTTTAGTGACTTCATATTCCGTTACATTCTTAACACCACCTATTACAACTCCGACGTGTGATGGTGTTATCTCTTTTGACATAAAATTCAATAGACTCTTCACATAAGAAGAATTGGTACAATCCTCAGAATAATTGATTAAATATATTTTGAAATAATGCTGTGATATAAACTCACCTAGAGTAGTAATTAACTCCAATTCATAATCGTTCCCTTCGCAAGAAAAAGTCATTATTTTGTAATCTTTATTATCAGGTTTATATATCTGTATTATTTTATCAATTATAGTACGGTCTTGAGAAATCCATTCGCAATTAGCTTCCTCGATACTTTGGCCACTGCTTTCTATTTCAAGAATAGATCTTAAAGATCGAAGAGAAGGTGAAAACTTTTTTGATATTTGGAAAAGTTGAGATGCAAATTCATCTTCGTTACATTCAACATCCATCCTTGTTGTTATAATAATATCATTTTCTTTTTTATTTCTAAAGTAATAGGGATGTACGTACGGATCCTGTTCTACAATACTTACATCTTCATCTCCATCCCATATTTTATAATCAAGAAACAGTAATGATTGGTTTCCCGTTCGCAACATTCGGAATAAGTTCGTACGATTGACTGCTTTCCACTTGAACTGAATTAGGGATGGTTTCAATGGGATTTCTTTAGGTATTGTAGAGTTATTCGCCTTTAAATGGTAAATATATATAAAGTGACCGTCACTGAAATACAAAAATATTTGTTACTATTGTGAGGAATATCTTGAGGCAAGGAAATTTACGGCAAAAGATGAATGAATCTTTAGATGAATGAATTAAAAAAAGCGCTGTTAGAAACATTAATTAATGTCTTTTGTAGTTTGTTTATAATTATATTACCTCGCGGCGATGATTCTGTGGGGGGGGGGGGGAGAGATATATTAACTGACCGTTCGTTTGCCAACATACCATAACAAGAAACAATTATTAAAAAAAAAACATAAAGCGTGTATAGCAGGCCACAACCTTCTTTCTAAGGAGAGGTTTATGTCCAGCAGAGGACTATTAAAGGCTGTTGATTAAGCTTTATTACCTGGTAGACGATATTTCAAACCCGCAATCTGTGAGTCTAGAAATATCGTTATAGAATTGTTCTGGGTTGATATCGGCGTCTGTGCATTGCTTCTTAACTCGCAAACTCTTCGCTATGTGAACAAATAAGGTTTCCTGTATAGTTGGTTTGATCGCGTTGTCAAAGACAAAGTCATCGTCATCTTCAGGCTCCAATGTCATCGACACCATCAATTTGATTCTATTATAAAAAGAAAGAGTTATAAAACAATTAAAAATTACTTACTTACAAGAAAATAGTATCTACTTGACAAGAGAAGTACCGACATAAGAATGCGAAAATGATTTTTAATGTATTGGATTTTTACGTTTTTATAATAAATTCATAAAACTTCATACTAAATAAATTATGTTCTAATTTACACTCCTATTATCGTGTCGTATTTTTGACATAGTTTTTAAATTCTAGGCTCTTTGTACACAACTAGAATACGAAAAAAATATTCAAAAACTATTCACAATAAATATTCAAAATAGTTTTTTTTTTCCTGTGCGGAGGAGATCCCATCGGTCAGATGGTTATGTCGGACTCGAACCGATCAAAAACCGCACGACGTTCTGGGTACCAGTTGCCGGAGAACCAGGTGTACCCTAAAAAGGAAATCCCTGGTACCCCGACATACCTCGGGCCATCTAGGGCGTGTAGATCCCCTCCTGTGTCGGAACCCCTATGTCCCCTTTGTGCTCCGGAAAAGGCGCGCGTCTTCTCAGCGCCCACCCACCCACCTCGGCCTGCTTCGGCCATCGCAGTGGTGGCACTCAAGCGTTGGCTCCTTGCGGATCAGACACAGGTGATCTCGGAAATAACCTTTTCCTGTGATCACCTGCATCAGCCGGTATGAGAAGGTTCCGTGACGCCTCTCGAGCCAATCCTCCAGAACAAGTCTTACCGCCGCAATAACGGCGTGCCCAGCGCTTGCTGGCCTATGTCGTTCCAAGGACCTGGCAGAGTTCGGATTTCTGATCTTTGATTTCTCGAGTCCCTGCAGGAGACATCGGTCCCCTCATGTTGGGCAGCAGCCGCGCCAATGTTCGCGCTGCTCCGACCAACTTGGGGACCAGACCTCGGAAATGATGTCCGAAGTCCCATCGGCCATCGAGTACGAACCCCAGATACCTAATCGAAGACTCGATGCCGATGCGAGTGCCTCCTACTATAAGGCTGGATAACTCAGGTGGGCAAAATGCGGCTCTCCACACGCTGGCAGGCTCTCCACACGCTGGCAGAGTGCCCGGCGTGGGTTGAGCAGAGGCGAGACCTCGTGGCGGCCATCGGAGTGGGAGTTCTCTCGCTCGATAGCCTGATTGCGGCTATCGTGCGGAGCGAGAGTGCGTGGAACTCTGCCGTCTCCTTCTGCGAGCAAGTTATGCTCGCGAAGGAGACGGCGGAGCGGGACCGGGAGAGGTTTAGAACTCTCCCGGCCCGCCAGGCCCGGGCACGGGCCAGGCAGCGCAGGCGACTCAGGCGCCGGAGGTCGCAGAACGACCTCCGTCCTCCATAAGCGCAGGCCTGGGGGTGACAGGTGAGGTGTATAACACTTTATACACTTATGTGGATAACACACATGAGTACATGCATGGACTTAATGCCTAGGCATTCTTTGCTAGCCAACCTGCCAGCTTGAGTAGTGTAATAGGTAAAATATGCGTAGCGTTTGTACGAAGAGCCTCCCTCGGTAAGTTATTCTAGTTAGTCTAAAAGGTCAAGAAATAAATTTGATTACGTTACTCTTGGAATAATGGCTTTCTGTAGCAAAATTCACCGGTTGCCAACATCGGGTCTTGAAGATGCACATACTGATATCCTAAAGCGTGACGCAGTATGACAGTAAGCTGTGCCGCAGCTGCACGCGCTATGTCACTGTTCCAGTACACCGAAATGTTTCTTGGTTCGCCATGCTGACTTACATACCGTTCTGCGGGAGCTGCAAGTTGAAATTTAAATTTAAATTTGGTATCTTCTGGTTGTAATTGTAATGTAATTTACGGTTCTGATCGTCTAATAAAGTACATAATATAGTAAGTTTTGAGAAGGCGATAAAATTATTTAAAAAGTATTGTAGCACTGTTTGCCCGTTTCAAAGTTTTAAGGAAGGAGACCACAAAGGCTTTAAATGTCTTCATCAAATATAATAGCCTACATCATGAGAAAATCAAAAATATAGTTTATTAATTTTACGTCCTGTCCAATTTTCCTAGTCTGTATTCTAAGGCAACAAACAAAAAAATATAATCAGATTGAGTATCTCTTATTTTTTTTTTTGAAGTTGGTTAAGAATTTGCAACGCTTAAATTTTTTATCGTACCCACTACATACAATATCAATAAATATATTTCCTTCTCACAACATCACAACGTCTATTCATTACAATCCTTATATACAGCTAGGAAAATAACAAATTATTATTGATTATAATATAAACGTATAATCTAATAAACGGGGTTTTCCTGCACAATTAGGCATGTTTATACCTACATTGTATGAATATAATGAACGCACTTAGAGGTAGATACGATAATTCCTTATTGCTTTTGGAACGACATTTTTTTTAAGTGTAGCGACTGTTTCCTAGTAATAGTAAAGATAATATCAAACTCAGTAGTTTTGATACTCACAATAAAAATAAGTGTAGGCTCTTCGTCACAGGGCCCTGGGGCATAGAACAACACGGTCCGACGGTAGCATGTGTCGCTCTATAGGCCTAGTGTGAGTTTATTTCACATCTATTCGATCGTCACGGCGACCGCATTCGGCGCTGCGACTAGCCCGCACCGAAATCTGTACCAATCGCAACGCCGAACGCGCTCGCTGACAACAGAGATGATGTGAAATAACTTGCGCTCAGTGCTGGCCGATCGCGTGACGATCGAGTAGATGTAAAACAAACTAGGCATGGGCTAAAATTGCAATCACTTGTGATTAAACATATGATTTTAAAATCATTTCATCTCACCTGTGACTCATCTACAACATCAATAGGTCGGTTTGATTGATTTTGATGGCATTAATCTTTGTCTATGGCCAAATCCAAGCAGTAATTTATCACATGCAGTGAAGCAATGAAATCATAATGACCAAACACAATCACTGTATCAAATGAATATGATTTAAAAGTAGCAATAATTTCCATGTCTAAAACAAACTCACACTAGCCCGCACCGCAATCTGTACCAATCGTAACGCCCAACGCGCTCGCTGACAAGAGCAAGTTGATGTGAAATAAACTCGGCCTTAGCCCACAGGTTCCAAGTTATTTTAATGTTGTCAGTGAGGTTATGATAAGGTAACAGTTACATTTATATAGATTGGTTTTAGTAACTACCATATATAGTGTGTTCTATTGTGTGTGTGTAGTGTGTCTGAAAGATTTTTTCACCGTTTACTGGGCAACAGTTCAACCGACTTCAATTATTTGAAATGTATTATATTAATGATTAATAAATTAAGAAAGCGCCATTTTATATATGATTTTATTACCTTATGCCCGCCGCTCCGCCCGTGTGTGTGTCGGTTCTCGCTGTTAAAAGTAGCCTATGTCCACTGTCGCTGAGATAATGTAACTTTCCATTGGTGAGAGAATTTGTAAAATCGGTTTAGTGCTTTAGGCGTGAAAGCGTAACAAACAAATTTCTTTTCACATTTTGTAAAATATTGAAGTTTGGAAGTATCGATTTTATTACAATATCTATTGTAATTGAAATTTTTGTACAGGTATCGGCACTGATCTTGAACGCTAACCTTCACCTGCGCAGAAGGACGGGGAGCTATTAAATCATAACGTCGCCGCGTCGGCCAGTGATTGGCATACCGATTTTGTCGTTGCTCCTGATACGTTTTCTCGTACTTAACTACGAAGGGGCACTCTTCGTAGTTAAGTACTGAGCAAATTAATAGGGTCTTTCTTTTTTCATTAATAATTTAATAATTTTTACTTTCGCTCTTCATCAATTTAATTTTCTGGTGGTTAAAAATTAAGATTTTTATGTGAGTGTATTAGATAGCGTAATGTATTGTACTAGTATGCACTTAAAACACAACAAATGAAGTGATGATGAAGAAATGGCCACCGTACTAGTACCAGCTTTAAATAAAAAAGTGATTTGTGATTTGACAGCTTTAAAGAAGAAAGAGCGGTCACTATATGAATTAGACATGGAAATTATTGCTATTTTTAAATCATATTCCTTTGATGAAATGATTGAGTTCAGTCACAGCGATTTCACATGTGATTATGATTTCGTCAAAGACAAAGATAAATGGCATAAAAATCAATCATAATTCTTTATATCAAAGATTACGAACTTTATTTTGTTTTCGATTTAGACATTTCGCGAGTCTTTCGCTAGTGTAATAATAATAATCAGTCAAGGCGTGATGATTTATTAATCATATGATTTGTAACAAATTATTGTGATTTTATATTGTGAATATTCAAAATCATTTCTCAAATCATTTGCCTTGGTTCATAAACTATAATTTTATAATTGTTTATATAAAGAAATAAATGTACAGATATATTAAATGAAGACGTACTTCTATTTCTAGCATCATCAACATCATCTTTAGCCGACATTGACGGTAATAATACCCATGGGAGAGTCATGCAGAGCCCGAACCCCCTTCGCTCTGATTCTGGGTGAGGGTACCTACTCAAAAGGCGGTAATGAACTCTATCACTCTTGAGTTGCAAGTGTCCAAGGGCAACGGTAGTCACTTAGCATCAGGCAATTCTGATGAGGGTCTGCACGTGTGCCCCTTCTTCCCTCTTCTTCGACTACACGGATGGCGTAGTGGTATAAGTGGTCGCCACGCCGCTTCCTACTAAGCTGAGTGTTGTGGGTTCGGTCCTCACATGGGATGACACTTTGTGAGATCCACAAATTGTCCTTCTGAGTCTGGGTGTTCTTTGTGTCCGTTTCATGTATGTTTTTAAAGTCCCACTGGATATATACTACTGGATATATTCCTAGTGCGGGAGTTGTTTCTATAAAAAAACATATACTCCTCGGCGCCTTTTTGCCAAACTAGGTTGGGGTCGGCTTTAAGTCTAGAACTTAGATTTTAACACCATCAGACCTCCACAACCCAAGTAGACGATATCGAAGTTCTGTAAAAAGCCTGTTGTCGCAATTTTTAGGACTCTAACTGCCCGTAACGATTGCCACAGATGTTCGTATGGCAACCGGAACGTGTAAAGAAATGGTCACCCATCCATAGACTGACCTGGTTAGGATTGCTTAACTTTGCAATATGTTAACCTACTCGATTACCGCGTAGCCACGAGCCCCTCACGCATGCCGGCACGCCCCGGCAAAGGTGTTCCCTCTATATGGCAGAATCTTCTTTAAACAAATAATTTAAAGGCATACAAATTATTTAGTACAATTATTGTTAAGCCGAATGTTAATATTTCCGAATTTACAATAGCATACTTTTAAGATCGCATAATTTTATTTAGCATACTTACTTTTGGCAGGGTTAAAATGCCGCATAATTTAGTTTCGCATAACGTTTATTTAGAGCGACTATTATTTACTAGAATTTCATTTTTAATAATTTTATTAGTCATATTGCCTTAAAGTAAAATTTTTAATGTTAAATTAAATTATTATCTTCATCATCATCATCATCGATCATCATCATCATCATCAACGAATCCGAAAGCTCGAATGGGACCGACGGAGTCCCGCAGCGCCGGAGCCGTGACAGATATGCTGCATGCTGCTTACTTGCTGACTTTATGATTATAGTAAGAAATACAAAATGATGGATTGATAATCTTTCAATTATTATAGATATGAAATGTATGCCAAAAGATGATGCTTACTGTAAACTTCCTGAGATATGATAGTTCTGCCTTTTAATGACTATCCATATGAAATTTATGCTTAAAGGCGATTCTGACTATGAACTTTGGGCGATATGATGGTTCTACTTTTTAATTATTATTTATATAAAGTTTATGCCTAAAGATGATTATGACTTACAAAATTATGATTTTATATGTGTGTATTATGTTAGTGTATATTATGCTACGAGTAAATGAGGGTCTGCCAAACGATTTTCTGCAAAATGAAGTTTATACTATCCGTGGTTATGTAAAATAATATTATGACATAAAAAGTTCTGCTATAAAGGGTAGTATAAAAGCATGGGACAAGTGTGCCCCCTATACCAAAAAAATATATTTAACGTGAAATACCTAAGGTACTTTAAATTGTAAGGAAAACATTTCAGAAAAAGCCAGTGACTGGGGAAAATGTAAAAATATTTATCGCATACTAAGGTTTTATTACCAAAAGTCGCCATGCTACTATAAATTGCATGTTCCTCATAGAAATGGTAAATTAAATATTAAAAATACTATAACAGTAATTTATAAAGAAAAAGAATTAAAAAAATGACTTAAATTCTAACAGATATGTAAACTTTAAAAAGTTTGCGATGCAATGTGTCACTGGGTGTCATTTATCTATAATTAGAAATATTTAACTATGTGTATCAGCAGTCTGGTTACTACTCGTATAGTATATGCTCTGTCAAGTTTGATATCAGACTGTCGTCGTGTGAAATGTGTGAATTTGATTATTGATCTTCTTTTCTTCTTTCTCTTTTTTGTATGCGGTCAGTTATTCCATCATTAATTCTCATAAGTAGTGCCCGATTGACACCGAAAGCTTTATTCCAATTATTTAAATTATATCTACCAAACTGTGAGTGTTTAAGGAGAGACACCTTTTCTGATTTTCCCTGTGGTGATAGGTGCGAGTGTACATATATATATTTATGCCGTTTTTAAATTATTTACGAACTTCTTTGGGCATTAATTCACCTTATAATATTTACTATTATTTAAAATTTTGCAAGGTATGTACATTTTATTTGAACTCTGGTGATGTCAGCGTTTTACTCTCTTTTCCACATATTCCATGTTCCATTGAAATGAGAATACAACTATAATAAAAATAGTTATTATATTTGTATTCTCATTTCAGTGTAGTGACTACTATTATTGATTCGTGTAAATAAACTACTATTATTTACCGAAGTCCTAATAAATATAGGTATCAAAAAATAATTGAAGTCAGTATTTTGAGTTTTAAAAAAAATAAGCCCAAGCTCTTGGACAGGTATCAAATGGTTTGACTGAGATTTTGATGAGGTGAAAAATATTTTTATAAATTAATCTTAGCGCTTACCATATATTTGTGTTATGTTATCGCAAAAAGATGCGTTCATGACGCCAACAAAAATTGACAGCGGAACCAAAATCGCAATGTATTGTGCCATAATTACAGGAGTTCTCACGCGATACACAAATTGCCCAAAACACAGGAAGGTTCTAAAACCATGTTATACAAACACAGTTTATAAGGGATGAAACACACCACCACCTGTGTAGCAAGTAAGTCTGAAGAGATGGCCGCACTCCTCGTAACTGCGAGGAAAATAAACTTAATAATACCGTAATCACAGGAGTTCTACATGATACACACACGATCGATACTGTCGCTTTCGTAGTTACTACTAGCGGTTTATCTGCCTCACACTTTAATATAAGGCAATATTTCATTTTCGACAACGTAGCGGCGTAACGGTTACGCATTTAACTGCATCTTCAGAGGTCGCATGATCGATGTCTGCTAGGTGCAATCGTTCTATGTGTTTTATTTATAATATGTGTAGGTTTATATTAGACACGTTGTTCTATGCTTAATTTAAGCCAAATGCTTTTATAACTGACTTAAAAAAGGGGGAGGTTCTAGATTTGAATGTATTATTTTTTACGTTTGTTACCTCAGAAGGTATATGCCCGTAATAAAAGTTCGGTCACAATTCAGTTCCGATCACCTCTCGATCTCGCAACTGTCATAAACGGTATTTTCGTGGTAAAAAAGTAAGGTATTACTAAGACTTGCAGATTACCGATTAAATTTTCGGTTATACATTATAGTCAACGTACGAGGTTTAATACTTTACCACGAAAATACCTTGAGTATTAAGTTGGCTCCGGGCCCATACGACACAGGTACTTGAATTGGATTGCATTGCAATTGCATTCAACACGTGCTCAAGGACATCGGTAACAAATAGCCTGTGCATTTTATGTTAACAATTACCTCCTTAATATTGCTATTTAATATTTCCACGATATAATCCTGTTTTAACCGAATTTAAAAAAGGAGGAGATGCTATTTTCCACTGCATGTATTTTTTGTGTTTTTTTATATATGTTAACCGCTTACTCCGTGAATTGTGAACCGATTTTTAAAAGTCTTTGTTTACAGTCTCAGTGATTTAGCAACTATTTTCTTGATAAGCAAATTTTTTTTCTTTAATACCTTCTTATTTGCTTACATCATGTCAGATACTAAAAAAATATTTAAGAAAACGTTTTTCGGCTTTTCACTGCGAGCAATAAAGCGGTTCATAATTGCTAAGCATAGATACAAGGTTGAGATGAACTGCCTCTGTAGCTAAACACACAAATAGGTAAATTAAACACTTGCCTGCAGCCCTGCCCTTGCGGTCTGCTATCATGATTGGTCCAGCGTAATCCACGCCTGTGTCCAGAAAGGGCAACTCCAAATGTAATCGCTGCTCTGGAAATTCACCCATGATAGATTGATCAGTACTAGCCTTTATCCTGCAACATTTTACACATTGATGTCTGACCTTTTCGGTCAAATTATACCATTAATAGGGTAATAGTGAGCCAAATCATCGAGATTAAATATCGTCTTAATTTATTTGAAAGTTTATATGAAAGATATGATACTTTTCAGAGTGATTTGGAAGCGGCGTCGGGCGATCCTAGTGAGCAATATGCGGAACGTGAGACATTTGAGAAGCAGTTTTACGGTTTATTTATTTATTTGGGATAACAAACAATAGTACAATATTCAGTAATAGTAAATATTATTTTTAGGTATTTAGTAAATGCTTTATCCACTTATTACTATACACAATGTTATAATAAAATCTTAATCCGTGTAGTGACGGATTAAGAATACGGAATGTCAGTAACCCAATACATCCCGTGGGTGTCTTAAGAGCCGACTAAGGGCGCAAAACAACGCAAACCAGCACTGCAAAAAGAAGGAAAACTTGACACAAACCCTATACCAACCCGTCTGGCAAGCGTGGTATAGCAGGCCAAAACCTCCTTTCTAAGGAGAGACCTATGTCCAGCAGTGGACTATTAAAGGCTGTGCATGATGATGTGATGAATCAAATAATTTGTTATACACCTAAATTATTAGTTATATTTGCACAATAAAAATGTAGGCACACGTATGTACTTTGTGTAGTAGGCCTCTAAGGAGAGGCCTATGTCCAGCAGTGGACTATTAAAGACTGTTCATGATGATGTGATGAATCAAATAATTTGTTATAGACCTAAATTATTAGTTATATTTGCACAATAAAAATGTAGACACACGTATGTACTGAGACTTTATTAAATAATACAAACAGTTGGGGCATATGTCTGTTGTCAATGAACAAATATTTGTTGCTAATTCACGATAGACAATCCATCAGTGCGTGAATGCATTAATTTGTATGGACCAAATAATTACTTGCGCGGTTGTCGTCGCCATCACCGACTACTGACTTATCCTACAACGTGGCGTCTCCCACAAGCTGTTAGTAGCCCCGCGGGAAAAGCTATTCAACTAATGAATTTTGCAAAATAATGTAGATGCAGACATATTCTTTGACAGTTTACCCAAATTAATGCAAAATGTAATGATCTTTTTAAATACTCATACAAAACTGTTACCGTTATAGTGTTTTTACCTCTGTATAGCTATTAATATTTATTGACATCTTGCTAATTTTTGTAACATCTTAGTGCTTTAATTCTTTAATTCATGTAATTTTATTGTATTGACTTAAGTAGCTATTTCTGTGTGATTGTATGCATTATTAATTATTAGTTGATAACATAATTTCGTGTTGTATTCGATGCTTTGGCTGCTACAAGCTTATGCAAATCAAAAAATTTAACGACATACAAATGGTCGGGCCAACTTTACAAGATGATTTGTTGTCAATATTGCTTTGTTTCCGTCAACATAAGGTTGTGGTTAGTGCGGACATCGGAAAATGTACCGACAAACCTTAATCCCTAAGGTTCTAGACCTCTGCAATAGATCCTATGGAGGGCAGACCCCAGTCATCAACTAAAAACGTACAATTTAAACACCGTAATGTACGGTACTGCATCGGCTCCTTTTTTTGGCAATTAAATGGTTGATTCTCTAGGAGTACTCTGATCCAGAAATACAATTTATTCTAGCACACGATTTTTACGTTGATGACTATTTATCTGGTGGTTCATCTGTTTCAGAGATAATAAACAAGTGTTGCCAGGTCGTTTCTGCTTTACAGTCTGCAAAATTCTCAGCCCACTCGGGTATTTCTTCGGGTGTGGGCCGACTGCCTCTACACGCCCGGAACTCTACCGTTCACCGATATACTTCGGCGAGCACTTCCGCCTCCAAATCCCACAGGGAAGTGCCGGCATGCCGCCTCCGTTGAAATGGTGCGGTATCCACGTATGGCTCTAACCGCCAATATCCTCTGAAGGCGCCATAGGCGAGTCCTATTCTCTGTGGTGCACCGTACAGTGCTATTGCCCAGACAACTCCCCTGTACAGCCGTCTTGTCGCGACGCTGGTTCCACCCATCGCGTAAAGGTCACCCAAGGGCAAACGCAGCAGCAACCCGAAGTCGTACCCTATGTTCCACAGGAGCGGTCCGAGAACAGGCCCCTGCGGAACGCCGCCACCGCCTCCTGGGTCACGGTCTAGAGACGCAATACAGAGTCGATCGCCGACCGCCAAGTTCGAAAACCGAATTGGGCATCCGAGAGATCGGGGTCCATCTTGCAGGGGTGCCGGACGATGCAGGCAGAGAGAACCCACTCAAATGTCAAATATTATTAGGAATTCGGGTCATTCGTCCTTGATTTGTTTTACATGAGAGAGTACTGAAGTGCTAGTTCTTTTTTTCATTACATTAAGACGCGATACAGCCACAATGTTGTTATTGGGCCGATTGTGGTAGCACCTGCAAGTAGTAGTTAAAGCGTAAAACAATTTAGGTTTTCAATGCCAAATAAAGAAATGTTTTATTTATGAAGGTCAAAAAAAGAACTGCGTCACTTTGTGATCTAAAGTTCTACACTCGTGTTTCTATATTGTTAGCCGTGAGATTAGCAATACAAAACAATGTTTACAGGAACGTTGTCTGGCATTAAACTGATTAGCATAATGATTTAACTTAGGCCAAACTATTATATAGGTCAAAACATATTCGTATTATTTGCTTTATTCAATGTAAGCTTTGCTATAAAATTACAATTATTCTTATTTGGGATAAGGTGCAACATAAATTTATTCAGGTATGAGTCTGTGCGATCCCAAGGAAATATAGAGTGGTAGAATACATTTTCTTTTTATGACAACTCTCGTCTAAGAATATATCCGTGTGGAATTCACAACCATACATGTAACGGACACTAAGAACACCCAGATTCAGAACAACAATTTGTGGATAACACAAAATGTTGTCCCATTTAGGAATTGAACCCACAACTGCATCCGGAAATATTAAGACAAGCTAAGGACGTAACGCAGAGGAGTACCTAACAGTAGATACCCAAACAGACTTATCTTAAACATGATTCCAAGGATTAAAAAACTGCAAAAAAATTGCTATGCTATGAGCGTCACAATAGGTATGTAATAAGATACCAAGTGACATCAAAGAAGTGTCACTTAAAAAATTTATAAACATTATGCACAAATATGACAAAGGCGGACTTAATGACAGACATTAAAAAGATGATTACAAAGTTGTTGTCTAATTAGCATTTTTTTCTTCTTTTAAAATATATTAGATATATTCAACACAAACAACACAGAATATATTCCTAGTGCGCTGTGTCGCGGGGGACTTTACAAACATACATGAAACAGACACAAAGAACACCCAGACTCAGAAAGACAATTTGTGGATCACACAAAGTGTCGGCCCATGTGGGGCTCGAACCCACAAAACTCAACGTACCTAGTAGGAAGCGGCCTCCGCTTAAACCACTACGCCATCCGTGCAGTCATATTCCATATGTGATTTTAGTTTTTAAGGTTATTTGCATGCAATGGTGGTGTAAGAATAAAGGTACGCATGTACAATAAAGCAATAAAGCTAGACATTTAATAAAAAACTCCAAATAATTTGTATGGTTTTATTCTGTCTTCAATTGGGAAAATATGTACGAAAAAAGTATTGATACTTTTATGAGTACGATATTTTATGCGATACTGGTAATGATAACAGTGTCGATACTTTAGAACCGATACGATGTCCAAATGCATAATCGTTCCAATTACCACTTCGGGTGGTGCCGATCTTCATTACTTATTTCTCGGTGCGTAGCGGCCCCGTTCAGAGAAAATCTTTGCAGCAGCAATGTTCACTGGTTTATCTCACACCCTGTTAACAAATAATTATTAATATTAAATATGTATAATGTTACATAAAAGATCTTTGTGATTAAAAGCATCGTGTCTTAAGGACAGTTGTTAACATAAAAAACCTGCGACACACAAATAAACTTAAAATTTTTTTTAATAGAAAACTGCAAAAAATCAAAATAGGTTTCATTAATAAATAATAAATAAAATGATTGATTGATTACTTATTAAATATTCTTAATAATACACTCTACCACACCCTGGCAGAATGCACGGCGTTGGTTGAGCAGAGGCACGACCTCGTGGCGGCCATCGGAGTGGGAATTCTCTCGCTCGGTAACATGATTGCCGAGATTGAGCGAGAGTGCGTGGAACTCCACCGTGTCCTTCCGTATAAATGTGTGTGTTTGTTTCTTACGCTTTCATTTTTAACCACTACACCGATTTTAAAAATGTCAGCTACATTATCAGCAAGTAACATAGACTACTTTTTACCGCAATAACCGACAAATACACGGGCGGACCCACGGGAAAAAGCTAGTTTTGTATAAAGGAAAGCTAAGATTGATGAAACTTTGGTTATTTAACACCAAAAATGTCGGCAGTATTAACCTGTAAATTCTATATGACATCTTAAAATGTGTCTAACCTAACTTAGAAAAAGCAGTTTAGAAAAAGAAAACATCTTAATACAAAATGCTACAAAAAGGTCGGTGTATTATGACCGTGAGAGAACAACACTTTTTCACAAATGGGCCTGCTCGACTGGAGTAATACCTCGGTTTGACAGAAAACCGGTGTTAAGCAATTTTTTCTTCCTTTACACCGAGTAAGTGAGGTATGGTCCGATGCAAATTGAACAGCGGCTCTGAAGTTAGCTGCACTCAGTTGAGCAAGTACAGCAAGTGGCCGTGGACGGCTATATCACTTTTCATCCGACCGACCCGTCTGCTCGTGTCCATAAAAAAATATTTAAAGTTATCACATCAACAGCCTTTATTAGTCCACTGTTGGACATAGGCCTATGAGGGTCCTCTCTGCCCGCATCGTCTGGCACCTTTGCGAAAGGAACCCTAAACTGTCGTACACCCAATTTGGTTTTCGGGCGGTGCATTCGACAGTTGACGCTGCGTTGCGCCTCAGGACCGTGACCAAAGAGGCGGTGAGCCATGGCGGCGTGCTGTTGGCGGTGTCGTTAGACATCGCCAACGCATTCAATAGTCTGCCATTCAGCTGCATCAGGGAGCTTCCCTGTGAGTGACTGAGGCGGCTAGTGGCAGACTATTCAGAGGAGCGTACCGTCATGTACGAGGACCGAAATGGTCTTTTGTGTCGTCGGCCCGTGTCGTGCGATGTTCCGCAGGGGTCTGTTCTCGCACCACTCCTGTAGAACTTAGGGTACGACTGGGCCCTTCGATGTCGCTTTGCCCCCGGGCTGGCCGTAATCTGTTACGCTGATGACACTCTAGTCACAGCCCAGTTTTTGTTTTTTTTCAGTTTTGAAGATGCGGCGGCGGCCTTACCATCAGGGGAGTCTCTCTGGTGGTCGGGTGCATTGAGGCACTGAGCTTACAAGTGTCGCTGGATAAGACGGAGGCCCCCTTATTCCATGGACCCCGTCGTGGTTCGTTCCCCGGCGCCTCAATCGTTGTCAACTCGGTCCTCGTACGGGTTCAGGCCCAAATGAAATATCTGGACCTGATCCTTGTCGGGAAGTAGTTCTTCGACGAGCATTTCTGACAGCTTCCTCCAAAGCTAGTTGGCCCTGCGTCTGCTCTTGTGCGACTTTTACCCAATTTGGTTGGACCCAGCGTCGCGACAAAACGGCTGTTCACGGGGGTTCTCCGTCAATGCACTCTACGGCGCACCGGTGTAGGCAGTGGCACTGACCGCCATGAACGGGGCACGCCTCTGGCGTTCTCAGAGAGTATTGGCGGTTAGAGCCATACGCGGCTACCGCACCGTGTTGATATAGCCCGCTTGCGCGCTGGCCGGAAGCCAGAAGTGCTCGCCGAAGTATATCGGCAAACGGCGAGAGGCCGCTCGCCGAGCCACGATGGCTCGTTGGTCGTTCCGGCTGGAGGTTCCACGTACTGGCTTTGCCGTGAAGGCGCTGGAGCACCTCGCCGGCGGCATAGATTCGTTACTTATTAGTTGGCTAAAACATTATGCGTAAAATGCTTACGTTTCTTTCCGTCTGTGTATGTGTTTATGTAGTAGTATGATTGCGAACAGTGGCAATATTAAGACGATCGTCACAAACGCCCATAAAATATACCATAGTTTGGTTTGGGTAGTTATTTTATAATCATTCGCTTCATCATCTTTCAGAAGCTGCGCAAAGTATTCCCTGCTTCTCACATAGTCTATGGTTACTTTGTGAGAAGTTGCGTTGACTCGCATTTGAACCTGAAACTTTCGCTGGTAACTATGCCACTCCTCCACGTACACCACAGCTTCTTCGAGCATATGTCTCTTGTATGTTAGTGTCTGAGTTAAGCCCTTCACCGGTACTTCTAAAAGGGTTCTTTCGAATTGTCTGAAAATAAAAATAAAATTATCATGTGTCAATTGCATTGAACTAAATCTACCACAGTACAGGGATAAACTATATAGTTAACTAATAAGTTCAATACTGTTAACGTCATATGCAATTATTGCCATAAATATGCTTTTTTACTCTATTTCTTTAAGTATCTAAATAATATACTATTTGATGCACACAAAAGAGAAACATAATAGAAATGATTTATAGCAACAACTAATTTACAAAAAAGAGAATGCTTTGACAAGGAAATTTACATAAGAGACATTGTTTGTGTCGTTTGTAGATTTCTTCTACACTCTTAATTATATTATGGCAAAAGTATTTCAGCTCAATCTAGCGAAGATAAGCTTAACTACTGATAAAAACATTCGCACCGTTTCTGTTATTATATACTCATATAAAATACGAGTAAATGGATTTCATTAATATATTATTCGTGTAGTATATATAGAAATAATTGAGCGAAGTCTCGCTCAATTATTGGGTCGCGCTGCTTCAGATATGATTGCCTAGCATCGTTAGGGGGTTTTCCCTTCGAATTGACGCGAAATGAATACCGTACCTCCACAGTGTCATGTAAATTTGAACGATGCCAGTAGATATAGTGTTTCTACCGGGACCAAATAGATTTGGGTATTTATGTACATTTGAAACAGTCAAAAATTATTTTCGGTCAGGAATCCACACTTCCATTCTAAGATTATAAATGCAAAAATGTGTCTGTCTGTCTGCCTGCCTGTCTGTTACCTATCCACGCTTAAACCACTGAACCGATTTAGATGGAATTTGGTTTAGAGATAGTTTGTGTCGCGGGAAAGGACATAGGATAGTTTTTATTCCAGAAATCATACTTTAAGGTGGGAATCAATAACCGCTGAGCCGATATAGATGAAATTTGGTATGGAGATAGTTTAAGATGTGGGCAGGACAGGTTAGGCTACTCTTTGCTGCGGTAACCGACATAGAGCCTTGGGCAAAAGTTAGTATATGTATGTAAATATATATATATATTGTTTTAATTTTTAAATTACAGGGAAGTAGCAGATGAATTGGTGGCATTTGATAAATGAAACCCTACGATAGATTATCATGGCTATATAATGCTTCAGATAGTTACCTAATAACTTGTTTAGTCTGTGTGTCATCTTGAGCTCGCGGATATTTAAGGATTACGTCATCGAATCCTTCAACAACTGTCAATACAGCATTTACGAATGCTGCAGTTTGCGGTGGCCATACATGACGTGGCCAAAGTTCATCTACTTTTTTAAGATAATCCAGTCGGCCTGTACCAGTACTATGAATATCATCACCACGCTTACACCAAAATGAAATCACAAAATGTTTTATGTTTAATATTTTTTTATTTTTCCGCCACTCACGCAAAATCCAAATCAATTTCTTATCCATATTCATTTTAAGTTTTACCGCTGCCGTGAGGATAGTTGCAGCGTCTTTGTAATCAGTGTTCACTAAAATTACCTTTGCATCTTCAGCTTTAATTCGCTGTAAAAATAAATCGGCTTCTACATCTGTTAAATTATGTCGCACACGATGTTCTCGGAGCTCTAAATTATTACTTCGATCAATAAGGTCATCTATGAAACGCTTAGCTATCCTAGTCGGATCTGAAAGAACTGCGATACGGTTCCAGCCCATTTTAAGGATTAAATGTTGCAGTGCTAGAGTTAAATGTAGTGTTCGACCTGTAGAGACCCACATATGTGATGTAGAGCCTTTTTCAATTGGTGTAGAAATCGCTTCAATAGCAGGAGCATCAATAGAATGAGAGTCATAAAATATAACTGGTATATTATATACGTTTAAAATCTTTGTAATTGCCGCGATATTTGGCAAGCCACCTACTAATATTCCAATGTAACTTGATGTAAGATTGTGCAACATGTAGTCATTTATATCTCTTATTACACCTTCGGGGTCGGAACAGTTCAAGTCCATAATTCTGGTGATAATAAAAAACTTCGAATCGCTCGTTTTGTATCTGTTCATACCTAGGAAAAAGAACAATTCATCATATTCATCAATGTCCGGGTCATCATCACAAATAATACACATTATTACATAATTTTTCTTTCTAGGCTTGTACTTTCCAACTAAACTATTTACTGACGTAAAGTTTCTTGATGTAGTCATTTTGCAGACCGCTTCTTCAATATCTTTAGAACTGTTTTCTATTTCAAGTATTGGCCTTAAAACATTGGGAGAAGGCGCGTATTTATATGCAATCACTAAAAGTTGTGGTGCATAGTCTTCTAGTAAACATCTATCACCCACGGTCGTAATGATATTACTATTAAGTTTTTGTCTTCGTAAGGTGGTTAAACCATTTAAATGGAGAGGTAGTTCCACAACACTCACGTCTGGTGCGCCAGCCCACATGTCATAGTCTATGAAGAAGAATGACTGCTTGCTTGATCGGAACAATTGGAACAGGTCTGTACGATTTATCTCCTTATACACGAAGGGCAATCCAGATTTTGTTAGATCTTGCTTCACCGTATCTACCATTGTTTGGCTTTTCGAATTCAGTTGGATGACATTTATAATATGGCGACCGCTTAAAAGGAAAAAATGAAATACATTCATAATTAACGGCATGATTAAAAGCTTCATTATTATTAATTTATTAATTATTAATGCGATACCGTAGTTTACTGACAAGTAAGACAATATTCTCTTTGTTAAACGTCGAAACGGTAAATAGCATAGAAACTAATACTAAATAATATATTTATGTACAACACCAAATATAAGCGAAGCGAAATATACCTTTTTATAACCACCCAATAAAATTATAAATCACGAAAATCAATTTTAAACTCAATAACAGCAGTCTTAATAAATATCCTCTTTAAATATGAACTTATCAACTTGAAGGTATTTCAATCTGTTACCAAGTTTTCATTAAAACGAAATATAGTAGGGACCTATTGTACCTACTTTGTGTCATAAATGTGGGTAGAAAACATCTATGCATAAGGCGAGCCGAACAGTTGAGTATTTCGCCGTCTAAGTGCCTTAGCACGTTATTATTTTGTTATTATTGTTATTACAGCAAGTTATTGTAACTTGTTACAGACATATCGATGTTGAATCTATTTGCCAATAATCAAAACCGTTGTGTAACACGCTTCAACGCAACATTCTGTTGTAGCGGTGTTTTGCGGTACGACGAAAAGCTCGAAATGCATAACCAGTTAAAGCGTTTAAGGCGTTAAAATAAAATAATACCTGGCAAATGAGTCACCAAAGCCGCATTCTGATATTAAGGCATCATCAGTGTAAGAGCTCAATTTATCCATGTTAAGGCACACTGCTTTATCCTGAAAGAGTTTTGCTAACCGTAGGTGTAGCCGATGCCGTACTGATGCAGTTGTCATGCTGATTCGCACCCTATTAACAAAAATGTTTATTACTATAGAAAACTTTCAGAAATTAATTATGACAATGTGAGCGTAAGGAAAACATCATCTGTCATCGTCATCGGCAAGAGTCAATAGTTAACATTTACACCTCCGATGGAGCCATTGAATTAAAAGAAGAAGAAGAAGAAGAACATTTACACCGACTTCAATGGTGCATTAACAAACCTTTAATTTCAAAAAAAGCCCTTAGAGAAAATGTTTTTACTTCAAATTTAAACGGGACCTATCTTGAGTGGAACCAAAAATTACGCAACATCACAAAACAAAGAAATATGCTTTTTTTTCTAATTTGAAGTCTCGTGTTTTTTGGTCAGTAAGTAGTTGTAAGAAGAAACTCGAGTTTTTCAAAAAGAGTAATTTACTATTAAATCAGTAATTTATTTTTAAGATATCAGTGGGACCAAATTATAGTTGCCATCGGCCAAATGTGGCTGATTAATTATGCATCCGCCTATGACTAAGATATTTTTATTAAAGGTAAATCTAATAAAAATTAATTAATAACAAATTTATTAAATAAACAACAATATTAATTTATAAATTACATTCTTGTTTTCCTCCTACATGTTCTATAATTATATACATATGAGCTGATGATCGGAGGAAAATGTATTGTAATATAAACCTATTAACCAAGACCTTATCGCAGCTTGTATTAAAGCTTGCATATAGCAGTAATGTGTAAACGGATTTTGACACTAAGTGTGTATTGATATGGTCCAAAATGAATTAAATTTATCAAAGCACACTATCAAATTAATACAGTAAAATTCAATAACATTACTCTTTAAGTATTCCATTTTCCTTGCAAGGGCTTTCGGGAGGGGTGTTGGCAGCAATCTGCTGAAAGCGAACATGACGATAGCCCAGAGCATAACGTAGTACGACACTGAGCTGGGCAGCAGCAGCTCGAGCCAGGTCACTGTCCCAGAACAAAGTAATGTTCTTCGGCACACCGTGTTGACTGACATAACGCTCTGAGGGTGCTGTAAATATTAAATTTATTAAAAAAATCAAATTGGAGTCAACGAAATCAGTAAATTATTTGAAGATATTGTTACTTGATAACTTCAATTAAAGGATACGGAGAATTTATAATTATGTTCCATATACAGTCCAATTTAATACAACTATTCTAAGAATACAAATACTTAGAAATGATATCTACTACTTATTACTAAGTACATGTTCTTTGTATCACATTATTATTTAATCCATATTATTACATATTTTCGTCACTTTAGGTTAGGAACACAATGGATTAAGAGTTAGTTACTACGGGCTTGGCATTTTTTAAACAGTGGATTCAAAAAGAGAATGATTTAAGAACATAACGTTTATTAAATCATTCTCTTTTTGAATCCGACGAGTCTTTATCAAGAAAGTAAATGTTTTTTTTTTGCTGCTGACATGGTAAAATAATAGTCGTAGTAGTCGGATCGTCAATTAAATTGTATTCTTACCTATCAACTTATATAGTTTCAACAAATCTATATTAAGTACTAGCTTATACCGCCCGCGTGTATATCGGCTATTGGTAAAAAGTCCTGCCTATGTCCTTCCCTACATTTCAAAATATCTCCGTACCAAATTTCATCCAAATCGGTTCAGCGGTTTTTGATTCCCATTACAAACTTCCACTTCGCTTTTCACCCCCTCAAAGGATGATTTCAGTGATAAAAACTATCCTATATCCTTTCCCGGGACACAAACTATCTCTATACTAAATTTCATCTAAATCGGTCCAGCGGTTTAAGCGTGAAGAGGTAACAGACAGATATACTGACACACTTTCACATTTATAATATTAGTTTGGATATACACTGCTTGGCGTACTCATTAAGAGGCCGCTATAATGGGTGACTAAAGGCTAAAGAAGAAGATAATGAATCAATACCAAGTAATAGACATATATTGGAACAAAAGTTGATATTTATGATCAAAATTATAATGAATTTTGTGTTATATTCCATGCGTACATATATTATTATTATGGAAACTGCAACAATCAGAGGAAACTTTTGCATTAAACCTCAGTTCATTTGTGTAAAACAGGCAAAAACTTATTTGTTCCAAGAGTTATTATTAGTTAAAAACAACAATGGGCATTATTATAACCTGTGATCGTTTTCACAGATGTGTTTCATATCTCATTCCAAACGAGGCAAGAGTAGACACAATTTAATATCACATAGTGTCAAAACATTTACTTGCGAAATCTTACAAAGATAGTTTACTTGTGGTTCATATTTAATAAAATAAATTAGTTGAAATTTGTACATATAGTTATAAATTTCGTACTTACAGTATTTTTGTTTAATGATGTCGCAAAAGGAAGCACTTGTTATATTTATGAACAAAACAAACACTATTGCGTACAGAGGTTGTCGAGCTGCGGTCGACATTGTGGAGACGTCCACTTTTAATCAAAATTTCTGAGAATTGTAACTACAAGTGCACTGAAACCGCGGCCGTTAATATTCAAGACAATTACTACATTTAATTATTGAAGTGAAAACTTCTTTAGGCGCGATGTTCATTTTTGAACAACAAACAAAAGAATGTATTTATCTTTTGAGATGAGAAAAAACTATTTAACTAACGACACTGTTACCGTTACCGACACCTATATATATAATTATGTTGTTTTCACTTCTGGCAAATTGATGCTTTTTTTTTCGCGGAGCTATTGCCATCAGACCGCCAAAACCCAATTACTAGACGATGTCTAAGTTCTGTAGAAAGACTGTTCTTGGACTTTTAAACGACTTTTTATATTTTTTTTACCAATTAAAAGCTACGTTATCAGCGAGTAACATAGGCTACTTTTTACCGCGATAACCAACATACACGCGGGCGGAGCCGCTGGCAAAAGCTAATTATTTTATTTCGTTTTTGTACACCTTTGAGAAATGTTTTCTGTCAATAGCACATTTAAAATTCTAACTAAGTAATACCATAAATGAAAGTGTAAGTCTATTTGTTATTACGCCTCTACGTAAATTTGTACTCACAAGATCATATTATGAAAACTATGTACTCGTTTGTAGCTCATGACAGGTAAACGTTAGGTTTGACGACCGAATGGCGTAGTGGTTTGTGTAACGGACTGCTATTCCATAGGTCGCGGGGTCGATACCCGCTCAAGTCAAACATTTGTGTGCATGAACATTTTGTTTGATTTGGTCTGGGTGTTTCTATGTATAATAAGTATGTATCTACAAAAAAAGTGTATTGTATTTATATCAGTTGTCTAGTACCCATAGTACAAGCTCTGCTTAGTTTGGGACTAGATGGCGTTGTGTGAATGTGGTACAATATTTTTATTATTAATTTTATAAATAAAATGACGAGATGATTCCAAATAATACATTACATACAAGGGGTAATAGGAATGCACCAGGGACTTCCTTTCTAGGGTATACCTGGTTCCCCGGCTATTAGTACCCGGCGACGGCGTGCGGTTTTAGTCGGTTCGAGTCCGACATGCCACCGACAGGTGGTATCCGAGGGGATTTCCGCAGGGGAAAAAAAAAAAAAAAAAAAAGGGGTAATAGGAATGTATATTTAATAGTAAATAAAAAATAATAAAAATATCTAAAAAAATAAATGTTTGCATGTTATATTAGAGGGGCCAGACGAGCAGACGGGTCACCTCATGGAAAGTGACTATCGCCGCCCATGAACGAAAAAATATATATTCGTACGAGTATTTGTATATGTGTAGTATGAACAGAAATTTAATGTTTTATGGATTTTTATACTGATATTTTTAAATATTCACAAAATAAAATGTTGCGTACACTACCCTAAATTTTTAAGTACCTAATACCCATATTAAAGTTACATGCTTGTTACTGATCTTTTTAATAGGTCTTTACCTATGAAATTGCCGTTTTGTATGCAATAAGTGAAAGTAGTGACGGATTAAGAATACGGAATGTCACTACCCCAATTCATCCCGTGGGTGTCGTAAGAACCGACTAAGGGCGCAAAACAACGCAGGACACCAGCACTGCAAAAAGACGGAAAACTTGACACAAACCCTATACCAACCCGCCTGGCCAGCGTGGTATAGTAGGCCAAAACCTTCTTTCTAAGGAGAGGCCTATGTCCAGCAGTGGACTATTAAAGGCTGTTGATGTGACTTATTTTTTCAAACTTTTTTATTTCTGTTATTCGAAGTAATCACCCATGCAATCGACGCATCTTTGCCAACGCATTGGCAGTTTATTGATGCCCTTCTTGTAAAAATCAGCTGGACGGGAGGCAACAAACTCTTCAAAGGCATTTTGTACTGCCTCTCGGGAATTGATTTTTTTACCCACTAAAAAGTTGTCAAAATTTTGGAAAAAGTAATAGTCGGTAGGTGCAAGCTGGTGAGTACCAAGCAACCAGCTTCGGTCAATCGGTCGTCCCCACTGCTCCTTCACGACAACGCGCGACCCCATACTGTCTCCAAGTTGCAAGAGCTGGGGTTGGAAGCTCTCCCTCATCCGCCATACTGATTGACAGTTCTTGTGATCGGAAGGCCGGTTTTTCTAGGACAGAGAATTAGAATTGCCATTCAACGTGTCAATGCTGACAGTCTTCTGGCAACCCTACCAGTAGGCGATGATGAGAAGGATTTTTTGATGCTTGTATGTAAATAGTGTAACTATTTCAATTGCACTTTTATTCGTTCATTTAATTAGAAAAAATCCCCGACACACATCTTGGATTTGAAGTTTTGTCATAGTATTCTACTAGTCAATCTCTTTCATTTGATACCCATATTGAGGGAGTTGTAAAAAAATATGTAATCCGCCATTTAGTAGCAGCGGCCTTCTTGGACCGATTTTCATCAAACATAGCTAAGAACACTCCCGACTAATTCACCATTTAAACAAAAAACAAAATCAAAATCGGTTCATCTGTTCCAGAGCTACGATGCCAGAGACAGACATACACAAACACAGACACGTCAAACTTATAACACCCCATCGCTTTTGCGTCGGGGGTTAATAAATATGTAACCTAAATATTATAAATAAATATATCAGTTATATAATTACTTAAGTAAGGAAAAGATAAAACTCTTAATTTTTAGTTCATTATTAAATAATAATAATAGTATAATAATAATATCACTTAGCAACACTTATCTACAGCAGTCAGAATTTCTGTATAATTTCTATTTTTATAAAATTTTAGATGTACTCGAGAAAAGTTCAGAATAGAATATGTATTACATATATTGCGAAAAGAAAATCCCAACTCGATTAAAATAACTCTATAATGGTAAAAAATATACGTGAGATATGACATTTAATGTCATGTCAAATAAACAGCAAGATCTTTTTCTTAGAAATTCTACTGTTGTTTGTTAATGATTACAAGAGCTAGAGCCAGCAGAGCACGTTTAACACCTCCGGACTCGTCGCTTCGCTCCGCCGTGCAGTCCCCGGAAGTCACAACACAAGTCCCGGTGATTACAGAGCCGTCGAGCTCGACTTCAAGCGACGAGTTTTTCTCCCCGCCAACGTCGCCAACACCTGTACGTCGGCAGGGGAGAGGTCGGCCACCGGTTTGCCTGGGATCCCGAGGCCCATCGGCTTCGAATAGGGCTCCCGCTATCGGTGGTAATGTGCGTCGCATGAAATGGACTTCTTCAATGAACGAGAACGTCATGCGAGCATATTTTGTGGCTACAGAGGGTGAAACTAATCTCACTGCGTATCGTAATCGTTTACTAACTCTGTTTCAGGAACTTGAACCAACTGTTAACGTTACGGTGCAAAGGTTATCGGATCAAGTGCGAGCTATTAAGCGATGTAATTTGTTGAATAGCTCTGTACTTGAAAGGCTACGCTCCGACTTACAGATAAGCCTCACTACTTGTCCTTCTTCACAAGCAGTCACGCATCAAGATCTCGAAATACCACAGGCTCTCCTGCTGAAATAGAGGAAATTGATGCTTCTTCTGTATGTACCCAGTACAATGATATAATAAGGAATACTTTGGAAGGTGCTATCCTGGAATATGGGTCCATGAATTTCGTAAACAGACCACGTTTACCTCGTTTGCTGATGCATAAGCGAAATAAGGCGTTAGTGTGTGCCCTTGATTCTATATTACCACCATATTTTGAAAAATGTGAAAACCTCAGTGATACACATTCAATTCTATATTGTGCGGCCGTTACTGCATGTCGAGTAGCTGGTGTCAAATTCTCAAGAGTTGACATGGCTCCTCGACCTAAGTCTCTGGTGCCGTCGTGGCAGTATAGAATTGAACGTCGTATCGCTGAGGCAAGGGTACTCATTGGCAAGCTTATCTGTTTCAGATCGGGCAACACACGCCCGAGAGTAATGCGCTTTGTGAATCAGGCTTTTTCGGGAACTGGTGGTGTGATTATATGGCACGTTATGGCATCAGGTTCTGTGATTATATGGCACGAGTCACAGAGCGCATTGACTTTCTGAAACAGAAGGTTTATGCATGGGCAAACCGTATACGAAGGTATAAAAAAAGAGTGGACCGATATACTCAGAATCGCACATTCCTATTCCAACTGGATATAGCTTATGCAGTTGGTTCGCTACCGAATTGGAAGTCAGCGGGACCGGACGGACTGCATAACTTTTGGTTAAAGTGGCTCCGTAGCTCACATGTACGTTTGGCATCTCATTTTCAATCATGCCTAGAATCAGGTTCGCTTCCATCTTTTATGACTACAGGACTAACTCACCTAGTCTATAAATCTGGTAGTGCCACGGATCCCAAAAATTATAGGCCAATAACGTGTCTTCCGACGTTATATAAATTACTAACGTCCATTCTTAGAGTGAAGATAACATCTCATATTACGAACAACTCTATTATATCTCACTCTCAGAATGGATGTAGAGGTGGGGCACGTGACACTAAAGAGCTCCTTATTATTGACATGACTATTAACCAACAAGTTCGTCGTAACCGAAAAGATCTGTCGACATGTTGGATAGATTATAAAAAGCCTTATGACTCTGTACCGCATACGTGGCTCTTGAGGGTGATGGAGTTGTACAAGATTGATACAACTCTATGCACTTTTATGGAGACATGTCTGCGGCAATGGAGCACGGTTCTTTGCTATCCAGGATGTCGGCAATCTCAAGGCGATGGCGAATATATAATGATTAAGCGGGGTATATTTCAGGGTGACAGTTTAAGTCCCTTGTGGTTTTGCTTAGCTTTAAATCCTCTCAGCACTATGTTTGAGGGTTCAGGGCTAGGCTATCGTTTGCAGAGAGATGGTAAGGTTATATCCCACCTCCTTTACATGGATGATTTAAAACTGTTTGCTTCCAGTAGTTCCATACTGATGAATTTACTAGAAATAACTAAAACCTTTAGTAAATGTATCAGGATGGAATTTGGTGT